GGGATTGCAACATTGACGATCCATACGTTGTTTTTTAACACAATTGTGAGGTCAGAAGTATTGTGCTCCAAAACTCTGTCAGTCTGAATTCAGAAGTCCCAGAATTGTTGTTGTTATTGTTATCTTAGCACTACTCCCCCCCCCCCCCCCCCCCCCACCAGCTTACTTCCCAGTGTACACTTGTACAGCAGTAGTGGAATCTCAGCCCAGTGCCCAATAAATATCAATGGAAATAATTTTCTGCTACTGTTATTATTGTTATGTGTTTCCAACTTATGGCAACCCTAAGGTAAATCTATCACCAAGGTTTCTTACCAAGATCTGTCTTCTGCAAATGCTGTAATCCAACACTCAAATTGTTAGACCATGCTAAGTTTCACAATGAACCCCCAGTGGTGCAGTGGGTTAAAGCACTGAGCTGCTGAACTTGCTGACCAAAAGGTCAATTGTTTGAATCTGGGGAGTGGTGTGAGCTCCTGCTGTTAGCTCCAACTTCTGCTACCCTAGTAGTTAGAAAACATGCAGATGTGAGTAGATCAATAGGTACTGCTCTGGCAGAAAGGTAACAGCGCTCCATGCAGTCATGCCAGCCACATGACCTTGGAGGTGTCTATGGACAACTTCGGCTTAAAAATGGAGATGAACACCAACTGCCAGAGTTGGACACGACTGGACTTAATGCCAGGGGAAAACCTTTACCTTTATCTAAGTTTCACAAGATTTTTACCAGATCCTTACTAAAGAATTTGGTGTTTATATTGAAAAAAGTAAGTGAGGTTAAACTTGTTTAGAGGAAACCCTTATTACCAATTAAAACAAAGTCCATACAGAGCATAGGAGTGTTATTCTTGTCTTCCTCTTCTTTGCCATGCTCCCCCAATGTCCCTTTAAAGAGATTTAAAGAGATTTAAATTTGGAGAATTTAAATTAGCCAGAGATGTAGATTTTTGTAGCTGTTTACAGAGATCTTTTGATGCCCACTTTATGGGGCAAAAGTTGTGAAAAACAAATGTAACTGCTTTGCATTTTCTTTTTAAACTCAAGTTCTTCCTTGACCTATATTTATGTGTGACATCTGGGACCTTCCTGTCAAGATGAACTGAATGAAATCCTCACCCATCTGTGATAGGCTATGTGGAGGATCATGTTTACCTGTCTGGTTTGGAGCTTTCAAAGAGTTCTAATTTTCCCAGCTCTTTAAGCCTTCTCAGCCAAACTAGAATTCTTATGATTCCATAGCACTGAGCAATAGCAGTTAAAGTGGTGTCAAACTGCATTAATTCTACATTGCAGAAGCACCCTAAGTAACCATACCAATCAACTTTGGCAATCATTTGGTGTTCCATATTTTCAGCAGCTTTTAAAATGTCTCAGTTTTTGCCTCTTCCTTCTCATTTTCCTTTTCTATCTTCAGCTTATTTGAATTGCTGCAAGTGAGTGCAAAAGTCCTTAGTGTTACATTAACTTGATGTGACAGTTGAAGAGGAAATGGAAGTATCTTGCTCTTCCCAGTAGCCGCAGACAAAAACAAACTTTTGCACCTGCTCCCAAGTTCTCTCTGCTTCCTCATTAATAAGTTTTGTCATATTGAGCACATTCCAGTTTTCACCTGTGAAATATTAAAGCTTATAAATTTGCTTATACATTTATCAAGAAAAAAATATTTAATGGTAGTTGCATTAGTCATGTGGCAAAATGCAGCAATATGCAAAATACACGTCATAATAAAGTGTATTTCTAATAAATGCACTTTCTTAGAAAAATCAAAGTACTTTATAGATAGCTTTTGAAAATCGCTGACTTTTTCACCAGGAAGAGATCTTAAAAATTATACAGGAGAAAAACAGTGATAATGTCAGAGTACCCATCTACACTGACAAATAATACAGTTTCTGAATGAAGATTATCTACTTTAAACTGGATGATATGACAGTGAAGACTCATGGAATAGTCTGCATTCAGAAACGGTGTTATATGACAATGTAAATGGGGCCAGAGCCATAGGCCTGCATCCCATTATGAACCATCACGAAGTTTAAGATCAGCTGGAGAGGCCCTGCTCTCGATCCCAGTACGAACGCCAACACGACTGGTAGGGACGAGAAACAGGGCTTTCTCAGTGGTGGCCCCTCACCTGTGGAACTCTCTCCCCAGTGACATCAGATTGGCTACCTCCCTCCTGTCCTTTAGAGAGAAAAAAACCCCTCAAAACTTTGTTATGGGACCAAGCATTTGAACAGTAGCAGCAGCAATCAGGAATAAGACTCAATGTGATATGTATGACAATGGTCTGTCCCAGGCACTGATTTTAAACTGGTGTGATTTTAATAAAATGTTACTTAATATTTTAATTGAACTGTTTTTAAATATGTTTTATAATTGTGGTTAGCACTCGAATGAGTGCTTGTTGAGAAGCCGCCTTGAGTCCCCCCCCCCCCCAGGGGTGAGAAGAATGGGGTACAAATGTATGAAATCTATATAAATAAAAATATAATGTTAATTTGTAGGATTAACATAACTCAAAAACCATTGAGTGAATTGACACCAAATTTGGACAAAATACATCTATCAGGCCAATGAGTGACCATCAGTCATAAAAACTCTGAAAAACACAGCAGAAGAAACTTAAAAAGCCAAAATATATATTTTTAAAAAAACCATTACAACGCATGCACAAAACCACATATATACACATTAAACACATATACACAGACTGGGCCACAGCAACATGTGGCAGGGGATGGCTAGTAAATAAATACATTTTCTTTGAAAGTTTTACTAAGATCTCATCAGACAGGGCTGAATTCAACAGTGTATGCTGGTTCCCCTTTCCTTTTGCCGCAAAGCCCACTGGCTCCCATCCCACAATGCACAGATCCTTTCTATAGGGCTCCATGGTAAAAGGGAAGAGGAACTGGCATATGACATCATGGTGGCAACCCAGGAGGCTTCCAATATTGCATAGAAATCAAGAGGGTGAAGCTGACAGCTGCTTCCCCCTCATGGGGATGAGCTAAGGGGAACTTGGGTGATGCAAGGTTTGGGGTGACAAGTTCCTCACATTCCCTTCCAGGCACCACAGGATTCATCACAATGTGTGGTGATTCCGACAGCAAATGGGATGAGATCCTTACAATAGTTTTAACAAAAGGCAAATGCAAGTTTCCTCTTCCTCTCCTTGGGTTTCCTCTTTACCCTTTCTTGGCCTGAGAATGTAGGTACTCAAAACGCAAGTAATAAAATGTCTGCCATCAATGGTAGATACAAGATACTATCCCTGTATCCAGGTGGGATATGCAGAACCTCAAACAATGCCAAGCTTTATTGAAATGAAGAACGTCAACCCAAGAATAATGCTGGAGGACCTAGAAAATGTCTACAGAGGACATATTTTTGTTGGACATATAAAAAACGAAACCATGGATTCTAGTCCTGAGGATACAAGGGTCATACTATAAACCCTTTTGTTAAGGAAATGCTTCTCTTAGTTTTGGCTTTAATGATCCATTAGGTGGCGCCCAATATCTAACATTTTACTTTCAACTGTCTCCAAAGAAGCCTTGTAACATTTATACAAAACTGCTTGTATAAATGGAAAAGTGCTATCAAATATCTGTGTATCTGGAACTGCAGCAAAGCTTGATATTCTGAAATCAGACACTCCTCTTCTGAAAAAGTTGCACTGATCTAGTTCCATTGAGGTTACGACTTAAAGAGAAGTATTATTTCTGAAGAACAGAAGTGAATGATCATGCAAAGAACACAATATGCCAAAGTTTGGAAGATTACTTTTTGTAAGTCACTTGTTCCCATTACTCATTAAAGTGTTTGAAAACTTTTTGTTATTGCTTACAGCAATCTTAACAAAAAAAGTATTTCATAAGATGTACAAAGGTGTTACAAATAAATAGTAGTAGTAATAACTATGATGGTGTTGATGGTGATAAATGTTGGAGATGTGACCAACATTTAGGAACTTTTCAGTTCATGTGTTGGAGAGACGATCAAAATTCAGAGACACATATGAACACACACACAAACACTTGTAACTGACACTTTTAGTTGCATAACTGTGAGAACTCCCCAAACAACTTTGGCAACACAAGTTTGTCCATATTACACGTACAGAAGACCTTACAAATGTGATATAACTAAAATGGTGGAAGCCAACAAGACATAGTGATTTCAGCTTTGGAGTAAAATTCAATTCCCTGCTTCACTATGGAATTGGAAACCTACTGGATTACCTTGTGCAAGTCAGGCATGATCTCCCTCAGAAAACCCTCCAATAGGTTCATTTTTGGATCACCATAAGTCAGAAATGACTTGAAGTCACACAACCACAAATAGCTTAAATAGATGTGCATTCAAATAGATGGCTCCCATAGATCTGCAACCTGAAAATATAGGCTGGTCTCAATTTATGTCCGGGTTGTATGATAGGAATCACAGGGTTGCATCAGCTACCTTGGACCTCATCTTCATGGGTACATCTCCCAGTGGCCACATATTCAATGTCTCTGTGAAGAGACTGTATACTACTAATAAATCTTTCACCTGAGTAAAAATGCTAATTAATCCAAAAATTTTCCATCCCTGTACAGGCAAGTATTGATTTACATTGGAGTTACATTCCTAGAATTGCAATGTAAATTGACTTACGTAACTGGTGGGAACTAGTTCTATGGGGAATTATTAGAGATCTGAGAGATACATTCCAACAGAATTGAAATAGCCAAAAAGCTCTCAGCTCACAACCAATTTGGAGAGGTCCAAAGCATTAAAAATACCAGAGCTGGTTTGCTATTAAGAGCTTTATCCCACCATACCTCCAGCTTGGTTTTAAAACAGTTGTAATTAATTGAGTGAATGAAAAGTGTCCATGCCTTGATGTAGGGGGATTTCTGTCGTGTTGCCAGAGCTCTGCCTTATTCAGGTAGAGATGAACCAAACAAAACTCCCAGTTTGTGTTAAACAATTTAATTAAAACAGCACTTAATTCCTGGCTGTTTTAATAGTCCAAAATATAAAACATAAAGATAGCACTCAGTCACAGAATAAACAAAAAATGACAGCAAACACTGTTGCAGGTTCAAGATAACACCGTAGTCCAAAAGGTCCAGTCCAGTGGTCAAATGCCAAGAGTTCAATCAACAAAGTCCAGGGATCAGGAGTCTGTACCATAGTCAAAAGCCAGTCCAAGATTCAAGGATTCCAAAAGTTCAGGAGACAGCTCAGGACACCAGCATCTACCACCAAGAGAAAACAAATACTTTTCTCCCAAAGATCAGTCCCAAGAAATCCAGAAATACCCAGCCGCAACCTATACCCTGCATGCCTCCACCCTTAATTACTTTTACCTGTAAACTGTTACTTACAAACTACTCAGCCATTTAGAACCAAGACTAACATTAACCCTTCCATCACCAAATGCCAGATCTGCCACCACCAACCACCATCAACTATGGGACATGATACATGAAAATTGCCTGTTGGTGCCCATTTTTATTTGTAAGGAAAATGTCTGAAACAGACCCAAAAAAGGAAAGAGGGAGAAGATGGATTGGGATCATCTCAGGAACTCAGAGAAAATAATTTTTAAAAAGTGGGATGGAAGCTGTCAGAATCACCTGCATTTAATTGAATTAATGACATAAGCAAATTGACTGCCTGTGGCTGGTCTACCCAGCAGTAAGTCCTTGATACCATAATGCAACCACCCAATCTTTGTACAGTAATTTTTTTTTAAAAAAATGAAAGTAATAAATAGCTCTACTTTAGAAGACTGCTACCTTTCTTGGCCTTTAAAGTTGATCTTGAGATACCATGAGAGTTCAAGCCTTTTGATGTTGAAGTCATAGACATTTTTTTTAAAAAAAGGGGGGGGGGAGAAAGGGAGGGGAATCTACTCACTCATGGAATAAGGATGAAACTGTATAGTAATGGGTAAACCAGCACATTCAAATGACATGTGATAAGTAATGAATAATGGAACATAGTGATTTGCAATGCTACAGGTCTGAACGCCACAGTTAGATAAAGCTATCCCCCCCCCACACACACACACATACATATGATAAGGTCCTAAATGGCAATTCCCATTATCATGAGAAAGGCAGGAGAAGGCAGAATAAGAGGAGGAGGAGGGTGACAGGTTTAAGTAAAMATGTTCAGTCTTATCATTCAAAACTCCATGCCAAACCTTCAAAACTTCTTGCTGCCTCTCACTTCTCCTTCCATGCTCTTCTGCCTCATTCAACTCTGCAGGTGCTCCAATACGCTATGGCTGAAACTTTCATTTATTTACTTCTGGAGACACATAATAAATTTGAAATGTCATAAATTRGAGCTATGCAAATTGAGACTTGAAGGTAATAATGCAAGAACTGATTTGTTGAAGTAGATTAAATGTTAACCTACTTGAGTACAGTCATCATCATCACTGGTGATCATCACTTGTGTCCGAGTATGATTGTCTTCCAAGTGTAGTGTCTTGGCAGTGGGTCCATAGGTGACCATAGAAACCAATACTTGATCCACATGTTCTGTCATARTGAGGACATCGGTTTCCAGGTGGAAGGCAGTCCCGGTCAGGGCTGACTTGATGCACCTTCCTCTTGACATGTTTCTCCCCTTTGCCCTCCATTCATGCCCTTCGAATTCCAAAGCACTGTTGAAACAAAAGATGTCTTGGGTTTCCAATGAGGCATACCATAAAATTACACCTTAGGGCCTACAGCCGCCTAGAGACATGTTCTCTGTAGGCTTCCAGCATGATTGTATGGCAGGTATGGGCAAACTTTGACTCTCCAGGTTTTTTGGAATTCAGCTCCCAGAAATCCCAGTCAGCTTAATGGCTATTAGGATTTGTGGGAGTTAATATCCAAAAAGCTTGGAGGGCTGAAGTTTTCCCATGCCTGTTGTATAGTCAACTTCTGGCAGAACATCTATAGAGCTTCCAGCAGAAATTGTACATAGAATTTTATTGTATATAATGTGGAAATTAAAAAGAAAAACAGAATTGCATTGGAAGTCTTGAGTGAACACTTCTCTGGGCATTGCTAGGGAATGATTCTATAGCAGTGGTTCTCAAAGTGTGCTCTGTGGAGCCCTTGGAGGGCTCTGCAGTTTCCTCCTCCCTCCTCCCCCTCCAAGCTTTCCCTCCTCTTTCCTCCCCCTCCCTCACCCCCAAAAAGCCTTTCCCCCCTTGAACAGTTGGCCCCTGGAATTAATTTTATTACTATGATTATTATTACAAAGGCTGGCTGGCCATCTGTTGTGGGTGTTTTGATTGTGCTTTTCCTGAATGACAGAAGGGGGTTGGACCAGATGATCCCTGGGTTGCTCCTATTACTACTACTATCATTATTACTACTACTATTCCTACAGGGGCTGGATTGCCATCTGGCAGGGGCACTTTGTGCTTTTCCTTCATGGCAAAGGGGGTTGGACTGAATGGCCCCTGGTATCTTCCACTGAATACTGTTACATTTATGTTGGTTAAAATTGTTCTCCATTTTAAATATTGTATTGTTATTTCTTTCCCTTTGTTGCACAGTGTGAATTAGTTCCCACAAACACTCTCCTTTCATCTGCCACTTGCCTGGCCCATACCTGATACATATAATATATAATATATACACATTTCTTGGGGTTCCACAAGAAGCTTTTGCTTCCAAAAAGGGTTTGTGGCTGATAAAGTTTGAGAACCCCTGTTCTATATTACTCAAATCTCTTCACGTATTCCTGAAATTGCCCTCAGCATGCTCACATAATTAACTGTATTCTGTCTCTAGCAATAGCCAGCTAAAATAAACATTTTGACTATAACTTCAGGTGACTGATCCTTTTGTTGCTTACTCCTATTATATATAGTGTATTGCTGCTACTGAACATAGAAACCCCATTTATGTATCATAGTGAGGCATACCTATGCCATGAAATTATCTATCCTGCTTTTACACAGCTTAAAATATACATATATTGAATAAATATAAATCAAAATATGCAAGGTGTCCACTTAGAATAGACCCAATAAATCAATGACATTTATATCAGCGTTGACTCATTATTCAGCAATTGATTCAGTGGATACCCTTTAATATTTAAGCCAACTTTTTGAATATAATATGTAAACTTCCTCCAATATGTACACTTGTTCTGAGCAGTTCCTGTGATCTTGATTTTCATAGTTAATACCATCTTGTCTATGAAGGAGCATTTTCTTTTATTAGCATCCTCAAAGGTTAGCAGGAAGCTCTGAGCCTATATTTATATTTGCCTGGGTTCATATTTCAGATTTGTGAGGAAATGATGAATTGGCAACTTAACATCACATACCAAATGCTGGGCTGCAGCAGTCTATAATCTAATAACACAAAGAGAAACTCAAGCTGTACACATGTTTGCATAGGTTTATATGTACCTAATTACCTGGGGCCTCATTCTAGCTCTCAGTACAAGACATGTGTATACAGGTGAGTAACTGTTAAGAAATTTCACAAGCCTCGCCCTTGAAAGCCCATACAATGCTAAAAGATGTTTGACAGTTGATCAAGTTTGTCACATGTTGATTTTTGCATATTCCATTCCTAAGGACAAAAGAAAAATCTTGCTGGATCAAGTTAAAGGCTCCTCCAGTCCTGTATCCTGCTTCCAATGATGGCAAGCCAAAGAAAATACTATCAGGAAGCTCACAGAAACAAGGCATAAAGACAAGAGCCTTCTCTCTTTCTTTGTCTCCGAGCAACTGATACTCAAAGATATGCCTTTAAACTGTGTTTTGCTAATATGGCTGAAAGCTGTTGATAGATGCACCCTCCCTGGATTAATCTAATTCCCTTTTAAGGCAGCCAAGTTAGTTTCTATTGCCATATTGCGTGGCAGCTTCTTACATTGCACTAAGAGTGAAAAAGTACTTTCTTTTGTTTGCCTTGAATCCATTGCTCATCAGTTTAATGGGTTGACCTTCATTTCTTGTATTATGTCAGAGAAAGTGACATGGCTTTTCTTCTTTTTACAATCCTAAATAGTTTGGGTATACCAAACTGCACTGATTAGAGTCTAAGCATTGTCTTGTAAATACATATACCAAAATATAGTGAATAGAAATTCAGGGCTTTTCATAGTACACAATTATGACACTGCTAACTGCCATCAGGTCCACTTTGACTTATGTTGGCTGTGAATCGGAGGCCTATAAGTCACACTGGCATCAACAAGTCCTGCAAACATTTATTAGTTATTTATTATATTTATAGCCCGCCTTTCTCAACCATACGGCGACTCAAGGCGGGTTACAGGTTGGCACAATTCGATGCCATGCATTCATAAAGTGCAGTTAAACATGGGGTCATGGCTTCCTTGATTGAATCTTTCATCAATTATTTGAGCTACTTCTTTTCCTACTGCCTTTTTTCTAGTACTGTAAGTTATGTCTTCTCATAACTCTTCTCCAGCAGTACATTTCAAGCAAGTTGATTTTAATCATACCAACTTTCTTCACTGTTTATCTTTCACATACATAGCAATTGGAAATACAGTGGGGTGGGGAATCCTAATTTTAGTATGATTTATCTTTTTATTGCAGGGTCTTGTCTAATTTCTTCATAACTGTGCTTCTTAGTCTTCTTCACAGTCAATTAGCCAAGGCATGGAAAATCTTAGAAAAGAATAACAGAAAGTAGTAGTAAACTAACATGAAATACAACAATAATGTAATATAAGTTACATTTATGATTCAACCTAGTAGTTCGAAAAAATGTAAATGTGAATAGATCAATAGGTACCACTCCAGTGGGAAGGTAATGCCGCTCCATGCAGTCATGCTGGCCACATGACCTTGGAGGTATCTACAGACAATGCTGGCTCTTCAGCTTAGAAATGGAGATGAGCACCACCCCCCAGAGTCAGACACAAATAGACTTAATATCAGGGAAAACCTTTACCTTTACTTACTTTTCAAAGCTGCAAATGAATACTTACAAGCAACCTTCATACATACACACACACGCACACACACGCACACACACACACATATATACATACATACACACTCCAACACACGCACATATGTACACATGTCCCAACCCATTTGCTAAGAACAATTAATGCAAATGTCCTTATGACAATAGATGGGTGAAAGATAGAACAAAGCCTCTGATTTCAAGGGAACTAAGCATTCCAGAATTGATGAACCTGCATCATCTTTCAGAACTATGAGGTTCACAAATCGCTTCTTCACTTATCTTATTATCCTCTGATCCCACACTCACAGCTATGTTGCTGTTGTTGGTCTGTGTCCTCGAGTCATTTCTGACTTATGGTGATCCTAAGGTGCCCTATCATGGGTTTTCTTGGCAAGATTTGTTTGCTTTTTCCTTCCTCTGAGGCTGTGAGAGCGTGACTTGTCAAAGGTAAATCAGCTTGTTGAAATGGCTGTGTACAGATTTGAACCATAATGGCTGGAGTAGCTATCCAACACTCAAGCCACTACACTCCATGTTGACTTTCAACACAACCATGTAACTGGCAATATACCTATGCTTTCATGTGAATTCCACCAAAGGTTCTGGATAAGTGGAATGTAATTCAGGAAAGTTCACACTAAAATGAATAATTTACTCTTGAAATTGCTACTAGGTTCCTTCACTCTTGTTAGCATTTCATTTTTATACTGCAATAAACCAATATCCCCCTCTCTCTTTGGAGAGACATAATAGTTGAATGATAAATTTATCCTTATTTTCTCACGTTGTGAAAGATCTGCAAGACCTGGAACACCTCACACAGCCTAAAAAGATTCAAGGCAAGGGACATGATTTGTATCCTTCTGAATTACATTTTATCCTGCTTCAATAACTGTATGCTTAATAACCTAATTATTCTGTATTACAGAATAATTGTGACTTGGTATCCACAAAAGCTCAGGTTGAAATGAAAATAAGTTAATTTTAAAAGTGCTGTTAGATTCCTTTTTTCCTTTTTACACTGCAACATATTAATAAGGCTGATTCTTTAGAAACAACGTACCAAAGATTTCATATAAACATTGGCACCCTTGTTTGGGTGTGGGGAAATAATATGTAAGACTTGGCGAGGATCTTGTTCATTCTCTTAAGACATTGTTACATTATGCCATATTCTTATGGCATAATTAAAAAAAAACCCCTTCATGTTCTTTTTCCATGGCGAATTGGATATTTGGGTGGATGCTGTTAAGTTGGTCCAGGAACTTGTTTAGTTCTTCTTCTCCGTGGCTCCAAATGGTGAAGGTGTCATCCACATATCTGAAACATATAGTGTGCCTTTTTGTGGCTGTTTCCAGGGCTTGTTTTTCAAAAGTGTTCCATGTAGAAATTTGCTATGACTGGGCTGAGAGGGATCCCCATAGCTACTCCATCTTTCTGTTCATATAATTCATTGTCCCACTGAAAGTAGCTGGTGGTGAGGCAATGATGAAACAGAGCTGTGATGTCGTCCGGGAACTTCTGGTTGATTATTTTGATAGTGTCTGCTACCGGGACCATGGTAAATAGAGACACCACACCAAAGCTGATCACTTTGTTGTTGGTATTTAGAAAATGAAGGAAAATTGCCATTTCTATATGTCCTAGTCATCCATAAACCAGATCAACATTTGGGTCACACAGAAAACCTACACACACAGATACCTACATTAAAACTCCAATCATCACCCAAGTCAAAAAAGAAGCACCATTAAAGGCCTGATACACCGTGCAAAAAGAATCTTCTAAACCCACCTCCTCCAAGATGAACCACCTCAACTGGGCTCTACAGGCCAATGGATACTCCACCTCAGACATCAGAAGAGCTGCAAGACCGAGAACAAGCCACAAGAGTAAAGACAAAGATCCACCCAGAGGAAAAGTGTTCTTGCCATACATCAAGGGAACCACTGACTGCATAGGGAAGCTGATGAGGAAACACAACACATAAACTATCTACAAACCCACTAAGAAAATCCAACAAATACTACATTTAGCAAAGGACAAGAGGATCCTCTCTCCTCTGCAGTAGTCTATTGTATACCATGCAGCTGTGGACAAGTCTACACAGGGATCACAAAACACAGTGCCCAAACACAAATCAAGGAACATGAAAGGCACTGCAGACTACTTCAACAGAGAAGTCTGCCATAGCAGAGCATCTGATGAACTAACCTGGACACAGCATATTATTTGAGAAGAGAGAAATGCTGGACCACTCTGACAACTGCCATGTCAAGCTACACAGAGAAGCCATTGAAATCCACAATCATGTGGACAATTTCAACAGAAAGGAAGAAACCATGAAAATGAACAAAATCTGGCTACCAGAACAAAAAAACTCTAAAATTATAAGAGTAAATAAGAAACAAAACTCAAACACAGAGAAACTCCAGCCAGGAAACAATCAGGAACACCTGGTCACCTCTCAACAAGGAAATTTCCCTGGCAGTAACAAGCCACACCTCAAAACTGTCAGGCCATCAAATGCTAATTAAGGTGACCAATTGGAACAGTCACACCTTAGCTCCAACAGACAAGAGTTTTTTTTCTCCCACCCTGGACCTTCCACAGATATATAAACCCAACTTTCCAGTTTCCAACAAACCTCACAACCTCTGAGGACACCTGCCACAGATGCAGGAGAAAATGCTTTTAGAATATAGCCATTCAACCCGAAAAACCTACAACAACCCAATGGGAATATAGATAATAATGAGGACTTTCATGATGCAGGCTCAATAAAGCTGTGGCAGAAAAGGCAGAAAATCCCACAATATTTGCTTTGAACTGGCATATATAGCAATGTGGACTCAGGGCCCTTCCATACAGCCCTATATCCCAGAATATCAAGGCAGAGAATCCCAACACATCTGCTTTGAACTGGAGTATCTCAGGCCCTTTCCACACAGCTGAATAAAATCCCAGATAACCCAGCTCAAAGCAGATATTGTGGGATTTTCTGCCTTGATACCCTGGGATACAGGGCTGTGTGGAAGGGCCTTGGGTTATCTGACAAATGCAATATTCCAGCCAGCACGTCAATGACTTAAATCTAGAAATAGTTTTCTAAGATCTAAAGAGACACTCGCTGGAACACCTCAGCAAGCGAGAGTCCAAAAGTGGCAGGCTCAAACCCAGAACCTCAACCAATGGCTGATACCAAATGAGAGACCCCCCTGGGCACACAGAAGACTGGGCGACTTGGAAGGCGCTGAACAGACTGCGCTCTGGCACCACGAGATGCAGAGTCAACCTTAAGAAATGGAGCTACAAAATGGAATCCACGACATATGAGTGTGGAGAAGAGCAAACTACAGACCACCTGCCGCGATGCAACTTGAGCCCTGCTACATGCACACTGGAGGACCTTCTTATAGTAACACCAGAGGCACTCTAAGTGGCCAGCTACTGGTTAAAGGACATTTAATCAACTACGAAGCTTGCAAACTTTGTTTTGTTTTGTTTGTTAAAATGCAATACAACTGTTTGGCTTGCTCCTGACACGATAAATAAATAAAATAAATACTCCACTTAGGGAGAAAAAAATGCAATGCAAAGATACAGAATGGGGGACGCATGGCTCGAGAACAGTACGTGTGAAAAAGATCTTAAGAGTCCTCGTGGACAACAAGTTGAACATGAATGCGGAACAATGGCTTCAAACTACGAGAAAGGAGATTCCATCTGAACATTAGAAAGAACTTCCTGACTGTAAGAGCTGTTTAGCAGTGGAACTCTCTGCTCCGGAGTGTGGTGGAGGCTCCTTCTTTGCAGGCTTTTAAACAGAGGCTGGATGGCCATCTGTCGGGGGGTACTTTGAATGCAATTTTCTTGCTTCTTGGCAAGGGGGTTGGACTGGATGGCCCACGAGGTCTCATCCAACTCTATGATTCTATTCTACGAGTAAACACTGCTAGAAACACTGCAGAAAATGTGGGATTCCATTCAGCTGTGTGGAAGGGGCCTCTGTGTACTTTGGGAAGCCAATTTCTCTCTCTCTCTCTCTTCTATAAAATTAAAAATGTAATGTTTGTTTGTGGGATTAACATAACTCAAAAACCACTGGATAAAATGACATCAAATTTGAGCACAATACATCTATCAGGCCTACGAGTGACCACCACTCATATAAACACTGAAAAACACAGAAGAGACTTTAAAAGCCAAAAAAATAAAAAAATGCATTACAACGCATGTGCAAAACCACACATATAAACACAAACACACACACATATATATACACATATAGACATATATATATACACACAAAACACATATACACAGACTCGGCCACAGCAATGCATGGCAGGGGATGGCTAGTTATTACCTATATAAATAAAAATGTAATGTTTTTTTTGTGGGATTAACATAACTTAAAAACCACTGGGCGAATTGACACTAAATTTGGACTCACGACACCTATCAGGCCAATGAGTGACCATCACTCATAAAAACAATGAAAAACACAGCAGAAGGGACTTAAAAGGCCAAAGAAAAGCAAAAAGATGCTACAGCACATGTGCAAAAAAAAAAAACCCACCCCTGGCAAATGAAACACACAATAGCATACCCACACTCTCTTCCAGACTACAGCTCCCAGCATCCTCTAGACCAGGCCATTTAGGAGAGGAGGGTGATCCAAATGCACTTCTTCCAAGCTGCAAGCTTTCTTTTCCTTGGATTTCTTTGAGCATGGCAATCCCTGCATATTTGTGCGCCAGCTGCGCCCGTACCTTGGGAAGTCTGACTTGGCCATGGTGGTCCATGCTTTGGTTATATCCCGTTTATACTACTGCAAAGCTCTCTACGTGGGGTTGCCTCTGAAGACTGCCCGGAAGCTGCAGCTAGCCCAACGCTCGGCAGCCAGACTACTAAAGGGTGCTGGGTACAGGGAGCACACCACTCCGCTGTTACACCAGCTCCACTGGCTGCCAATTAGCTTCTGAGCACAATTCAAAGTGCTGGTGTTAACCTATAAAGCCCTAAACGACTCCAGCCCTGTTTACCACTCCGAACGCATTCTCCCCTATGAACCATAAGGTTATTAAGATCGTCTGGAGAGGCCCTGCTCTTGGTCCCACCGGCCTCACAAGCGCGTCTGGTGGCGACGAGGGACAGGGCCTTCTCGGTGGTGGCCCCTCGACTCTGGAACTCTCTCCCACTGGAGATCAGAACCGCCCCGTCTGTCCTGACATTTAGGAAACAGGTGAAGACCTGGTTATGGAGACAGGCGTTCAACGAGTGAGCCAACAACCTGAGATATGGATGGAGGATGATGAGCAACGATTTTAGTGTGACGACTGACCATTATAGTTACTGATTGTAATTGCTGTTTTAATGTTTTACTGTAATATGTATTATGATGTTTTATTGATTGTATGTGATATTATGGTTGGAAACCGGTCTGAGTCCCTCAAGAGAGGTGACTTTTAAATAAATAAATATTTCCAATTTCCTATTCCTGGACTGCAGCTCCCAGCAATCCTCCAGAAAAGATAGTTTAGAGATAGATAGGTAGATAGATCAGGAGGACTGCTGGGAGTTGCAGTCCAAGATTAGGTAGAGAAGGAAGAACTGGGAGAAAGAGGAAGAGAAAGAAAACTGGGGGGAAGAGGAAGAGGAAGAGAAGGAAAGAGAGAAGGAAAGGAAGGAGAGTAAGAAAGAAAGGAGAGAAAGAGGGAGAGAATGCTGGCCACAGCAACGCGTGGTGGATACAGCTAGTATATACATGTGTATTTCTAATATTACTGTTGCAATCCCTGGGGAGCTTGCAACAGTAGATAATATGTAAACAAAGATCTCTTCTCAGTAGGGCAGGGAGGGTATTGCACCCAGACGCGTGCACTCCCCATGCGTTTAAGCCTACAGGGGAAAGACCAAAGAAGAAAAAGAGAGAGAGAGAGAGGAGGCGCGTCTGCCCGCCCCTCGTGGAAGTCCCACGCGCCGCCCCCTCCCTCTGAGTTCCAGACTGGAATGGGAGGGGAGGGGAGGGGGAGCGGGGCTGGAGCGTCCGAGACGGACAAGGGCAGCATCCAATGGGCGCCGTGGCTGCCCCTCGGGGAGGAGGGGAGCCAGGAGGGGCTTCGCCCAATGAGGCCGCGTCCAGAGCGGGACTTCCTTTGGGGAGGGAGGGGGGAGGAGGCGGGAATCCCGCAGTTGAGCCGCGGAGGTGACACGTAAGTGCGGGGCTGGAAGGCGGCCAGGGCGACCCAGGAGGAGGAGGAGGAGGAGGAAGAAGAGGTGCCCCCCCCCCAAGGGGAAAAGTTGCCCTTGAGAGAGAGAGAGAAAGGAACTTTTAGCCTGAGGGGGGAGGCAGAAGGAGGGGGGAAGCCCCGGTTGGAGAAGGGGTCTCGGGGAGGCAGGCAGGAGCCCGCCTGCAACAGGAGAGAGACAAGAAGGGGGCAAGTCAGGTGGGCCAGCTGGCCAGGAACAAAAGAGACCTTGGGGGCCATAACCTTGGGATTTGCCCTTAGGAAGCCCCTCCTCATAAACACAAAAGTATTTTGCTAAAGAGGAGAGATCCAATCTGGGATGTCTTCTCTCTCCTAAGCATCCTAAGTGGATAGAGTTCCATCCAAAGGGCAAGAAGCATTGAGAAGAGCTCAGCTTCAGCCTCCTTTGGCCTTACTCTTCTTCACTGGCCACTTTGCCCTGTCTGCAGGATGGCCTGAGATGCCTGGCAAGGCTTGAGGCCAAAGGGGTTATAGTTAGGGCCAGAGTCTATGGCCCAAGCTTGTTTCTTCTGGTGGCCTCACTCCTGGTGCCCTTACCCCCATGAGGAGGGTTGCCTAAACGTTGAAGTCTAGAGGCGGACAAGCTCCCAGATTCCCCCAAGGGAAGGACTATGGGCAACGGGATGTGTTCCCGAAAGCAGAAGCGCATCCTGCAGTCCCTCTTGCTCCTCACCGTGGTCTTCGGCTTCATCTACGGGGCCATGCTCTACTACGAGCTGCAGAACCAGCTCAAGAAGGCAGAGGCCGTTTCCATCAAGTACCAGCAGCACCAAGAGGCCCTTTCGGCACAACTCCAAGGTAAAAGAAGTTGCCTCTCTCTGATCTACCAAAGCTCCACCCAGGTCCTGGCATCTGGAAGGTCTACCACAGTGGTTCCCAACCTTTGAGCCTCTGGGTGTTTCAGACTTAAGCTCCCATAGTTCATGACAGCTGGTAAGCTGGCTAGGATTTCTGGGAGTTGAAGTCCAAAACACCTGGAGGTCCAAAAGTTGGGAAGCACTGGTCTACAAAGTTATTTTCATCTTGAGGGTGCATCCACACCAGGCATGGGCAAACTTGGGCCCGCCAGGTGTTTTGGACTTCAACTCCCACAATTCCTAACAGCCAGTAGGCTGTTAGGAATTGTGAGAGTTGAAGTCCAAAATACCTGGAGGGCCCAAGTTTGCCCATGCCTGATACAGTTTGGCATCACTTTAACTGCCATGCCTCAGTGCTGCAGAATCATGTGAGTTGCAGTTTTCCAAGATGTTTAGCCACCTCTGCCAAAGAACTATGACTCACATGATTCCACAGCATTAAACCATGACAGTTAAAGTGGTGTTGAAACACATTATTTCCACAGTGTAGATGCAACCTTAACACCCTCATCCAACTTTTATAGCCCATGTGTCAACACCTTTATAGCCCATGTGTCAACACCTGTTGCTCCAACCTCTGCTTATGTATGTACAATTACACACTGTTTGAAAAAAGTTAAACAACTCAGGGAGTAAAAGTAGAGTTGCAAATACATTATCACACATCATTGTTTCTATTTACCATAACTTCCGGTCTGAATTTGTGTTTGTGACTAAATGAGTCAATTGGTGATAGAACTGACCACATCTATACTGATCACTTAATGCAGTTAGAAGACAGCTTGACAATGTTTAGATGATGCATGTGAGGAACGTGCAAAGGAATGCATCATAAGGGCTTTAAACAGAGATAAATAAAGTCCAGTGATATTCTTAAATTGGGCCCATAATGTGTATCAGGGTGCCTAAGTGTAAACCACATTGCATGGTGAAACTGCTCTATTTTTTCCACACATGTAAATTGTGATGCGGGAGGTGAAAAAAACCTGATATATAGATCATAGAGTTGGAAGAGACACCAAGAGCCATCCAATCAAATCCCCTGCCTTGCAAGAACATACAATCAAAACACCTTAAGAGATGAGCAACTAGCTTCTGCTTAAAAGCCTCTAGAGAAGGAGACTCCACCACACTCCCAGGCTCTTACCATCAGGAAGTTCTTCCAAATGTTTAAACAGGATCTCTTGGAGTTTGAATCCATTGCTTTGTGGATTCCAACTTGGCAGTGAAGTCACGGAAACTGCAGATCCTGAAGCCAGTTTGAGACCAACTTTTGTGATGCATATAAAGATCAAGGTGCCAGAACTTGTAATCATCTGTGCAGTTAAATTGCTACCTCCTCAGTGGTAGCAACCTAAGTTGGTCAGTGTACCTGTACCCTTAATTTAGAATGGTTATGCCAAACCATTGAGAGATGGTTGAGAACGAGGGCCCCATCTACACTGCCCTATCATGCAATTTTAGAATTAAATTTAGCTGCAGTGAGCTGGATTATATGAGTCTGCACTCATAATGCAGCTCAACTGCATTCTGAGACTGCATTATAGGAAAGTGTAGATAGGGCCTAGGTGTGCTGAACATGGTTGAGAGCTGAGGTTAAATCAGGGTCTAGATTCAGCATTTTTCCCCCATAACATTCTTCACATTCCACGAGCTCTGCACTGCTTGATAGGCATCTTTGAAAATTCAATTTGTTTCCTGTAAAGCAGCGGGTGAGGAATGAGTGGCCAAGACAGATTTATCAAAGGGGCATTTGGAGCAAGTGCATCATAGCACTTCATGATTGCTGTTGCTCGACTCATGTACATACTCTTGTGCTCAGTTGTCATAAAGTCACAAAAGCTGTAGGGGAATTGGGAGAGGGAAGTCTTTTTCTTCCCCTTTACAGGGTTTGGCAGCAGTTAGTACCCATTTCATTTCCATTTTGTAGCTGTAGAGGTGAGTAAAGAGCCTGAGACCACTGCTTCTGAGTTATTGGTTTAGTCATGCTGACTGGTTCAAGGGGGAAATGCCCAGACTTTGCCCCCTTTTCAGGCCTGAACAGGTCACAGGGATTGTTGTTCTTTGCCCAGCAGTGGCATTATGCCTAACTCACTCAAAGCCCAAAGCCAGGCATCCAACGCAGGTATGCCTCCCTCTGGAGGGTTTTACTTTTTGGAACTTTTCTAGAGTCCCACTCTAACTTTCTTGGCCCTTCATGTGCTTTTGGAATCCAACTTTCGTAAGCACCAGTGAGCGTGTCCAGTGATTGGTAAAGATGAAAACTGTATTCCTAACAACTTCTACAGAACTAAACAGCTTCTTTAATGCACTAAAGTCATCCCAGCCATTGCCACATCCTGTAGTGAAGGATTTGAATATTTAATGTTGCACTCTGCAAAGAATTTCATTTCAATCAACTCTAGTAGTTGAATAATGCTGATATCTGATCATATTCAAGAGGGGATTTTTGATTCATTTAATGCTATTCATAATTTAATTAATATATTTTGTACCATACTTCTATTATTTTGATTTGTAAAAGAAAACAACTCCAAACACTGGCTGGATGAATACCTGGAATCAAGCCGTATCAAATTTAGATGAAACCACTTTTATTACATTTATTGAAACATATTTAAGCCATTCTTCATCCTGCTGGATTCCAGGGTGATGTAGAAAAAAAATTAAAATGATCTAATACATTTTAAAAAGCATAAACAAACCAAAAATGGCAATAGACGCAATAAGACAGAATCAACCAACTAAAATGACTTGGCAATCAGAAATTTATTTTTATTAATAATCTTAATAACAAAAATAACAGCAAATCCACAAAGAGACAAACCAAGAATATAAACCATAAGACAAAATTCAAAAACAAAAACAGCAGAGATACATTTTAAAAATATTTATTTATTTACCCTATTTATACATCACCTTTCTCAACCCCATAAAGGACTGTAGTCACACCTTTTGTGGGAAGGGTATTTCATAGTTGGGATGCCACAGCAAAAATGCCTCTTTGCTTATCTCGTCCATCCTGCATGCAAGCAGTAGCTCCAGGTGGAGGTGTCTTTGTAAAGGGAGCGCTGGCATCAACTCTACTGTATCTTGATGTTTTTGCAGAAAGAGCTGAGCATTTTCCCTGGAGTCACTGCTACTAATTTGTGTGGCACAACTGGTGGCGTCATTGACATGGTCTGGGAGAACAGACACATGTGGCATGCAACAGTAGCAGGAGGAAGAGCAGACTCGGAGTGCCACTCTCTCCACTGCCCTAATGGCTTGGCCAACTCTTGCATGACCCCTCCTCCCTCTCACCTCTCTTATAGTGTCTGTTAAAAATAATGTGTGGCAGCAAATAATCTGTGAATAACTACATTTGTGGAAGTTAAACCCATAAATATAAAATGGTTACTATATTATTATACAGTGTTGTTCCCAACATAATTATATACTGTGATAATTGTATCATACCATATATATGTCGCACATATATGCTATGCAATATCTTGTGTCTGTTATATAACTGTAAATCTATTGATATTTATAAATTAACCCAAATGTTGCAGTTCCTTTTTTGTGACAAACTTGACATCAAATTACTTTAGGTCCTTTGGTGGTAGCTCTTGTGCCTCTCACTTTACTATTCATGCAATCTTGGGCAGAATGAAATGAGAATTGATGAAGCACCCGGTGCACTATCATATGTGACTGGCAGACTTTGTTGTATTTGGCAGATTAGACATTGCAGGTTTGTTGCATTTCCGTGCCTTCAGTTTGTGTCCAATCACAGTTTTTTTTTTCCTGAAAAAAATTGTTCAGAGTAAGCATGCATTTGTGTCAGGAGTGACTTGAGAAACTGCAAGTCACTTCTGGTGTGAGAGAATTGGCTGTGTGCAGGGGATGCTTAGATGTTTTTGATGTTTTACCATCTTTGTGGGAGGCTTCTCTCCCAAAAGGATGTCCCTGCATGGGGAGTTGGAGCTGACAGAGGGCGCTCAGCCTGCTCTCTACCTGGATTCGCACCAGTGACCTGTCAGTCAGCAGTCCTGCTGGCACAAGGGTTTAATCCATTGCACCACTGGGGGCTCTGGTGAGGTTGAGAAAGAGTGATTTGGCCAAGGTTATTTACTTGGTTTTATGGCCTTTTTAATGTCAGGAGAAACTGCAAATCACTAAGCAAGGAGTTGAATCCTGTTTTCTGGAATCTTAGTCCAGCACTGAAATCACTACAGCATGTGTCTCTCTTGTAGTCCATAGAGATACAAATTTAATTTACCAAAACATCAAGGTGTTCTAACCTTCAAGGCATATGAAGTAACATTTGAACTAGAATTTGATCCTAGATATTGAGACCATAGTAGCTGAAGCATGCTAATTGGAAAAGGTAGTAGTTCCAGGCCCCCAAACAATTGACTAATGTCTTTTGTTTACTGCTGATGTGAGAGTAGAATGTACTTCCATGCGTTGTTTTTGTGAAAATTAATGTTCCACGAAGTAATTACAGGGAGAGGAATGTGGTATGTAATAAAATAAATAAGATTAGATCTTCATTTTGTAATAACATAATACATGTAAATATTGACTTCTCATTTTCTGTAGGTGATTGTATTATATGTAGATGAATATTGGAAACAGTAATGGTAGTGAGAGTAGTAAATGCAGAGTTAAGTGATAAATTGTAAAAATAATAATTGGAAACCGTAGCTTTTTTATGGAGTGTGAACAGTGTTCTGCCACTTTGTGTGATCTCAAGAAAACTGAGAAAGCTCATTGCCCCTGACCACTGCTGCCACTAGTGATGCCACACCAGAGAGAGAGAGAGTAAATGGTATCAGTGCTCCTTTTAGGTTCTCCTAGAATGGATTAAGCTCTTGACTTTTGCCACTGTAGTCAGAGAAGGGGATGGCTCCTTTTTGGATAAGATTTTCGGTACATTGGCCTGTGTGTAAGCTA